TTATGTTGGGCATTTAAGTTATCCAAGCCAGTTTGGCCTCCTCAGTCTATTCTAATAGGGAACCCTGGCACAAGAGATTTCAATCTTTGCCCACTACTTACTTTGCTCTACTAGTTGTTGCAATATTCATAATAGCAGATGGCCTCTGAAACAGATGCAGTTATATCTGAAAATTGCTAATGGTAGAAAGCAATGAAGATGCAATAGATTTATACAGAAAATGGCTGGAGGCCACGATTAGATGTAAACTTCTTGAGCTGAATTACCTGCAATTGGTCCTGTTTAAAAGTGGCCTCTAGACTTGGCTGCCTATAGATGTGCTCATTCGTGGTCAAATTAGAACGCGTCAGAGCAGACTCGATGAGTCTGTTCCACGTTCTAATCAGAAGGCTCCAGCCTCACCTTACTGTCCTGTGTATTAAGCCCCACCATGTTTCATGGCCACAGGGATGCTTTCACTAAACCTCATTGACTGAGCTTTAAATAAAGCATCCCATAGCCATCTTGAAATGCACGGAGGCTTAATATATGTGATGGTGAGCCATTCTAGTTAGAGCAGCTGTCCAGGAACACTCAAATTAAAACACGCTCCCCCACCTCTGAGCATGTGCATAGAGAGCCAGAGAGGTGACAGCAACACACTGGACTGCCTGCCTTCTGTACTCATGCAAACAAAATGCCATATTTGAGGCCTATTTACACATTACTGCCTAATCCCTTGGTCTAAATGGCCTGTTATTTCAAGTAAATTTTTCATGATGAGTTTTTAAAATCATTAGCGAAAAAATTTATATGGAGTCACTCCCCATCAGCATGGGATGATGGACAATGATAATTAGGAATGGCCCATAAGAGCCAAACTTTCCAATTCTGCTACTCAGCCTGGACCAGCTGTAATGGAGAAGCTGCGTGTTGCCCATGCAGTTAGCTGAGGTTGCCCATGGGATACTTGAGAAGGGAGATGAAGAAAGACATAGACTCCTTTCCTTGTGTCTTTGGCTTCCTCAGACTAGCGTTCTTTCTGAAGCCTGCAGGGGATACCAACTAGTACAGAAACAACAGAGAGGAAGGAATTAAAGGAGAAAAGCTTCCCAGAGGACTAATCCAATCCTGGGACATAGCGGACCAAATAATGAAACCATTTTTAGTTCAATTTGAAATGGTTGGAGTTTTCCTCAGAAAAGCAAGAGTGGAATAGCAATTATATCTGTTGGCTGCTATGAAGGAAAAAAAAAACTGGACAGAAAAAGCAGAGGCCAGATGCTGCCCCTGCTGCCCCTGACCAACCATCCTGGTTCCACCCTCATCCACCAAATAGCCTGACATCTCCATTTCAATGCATCTGTGGACTTAACACAAAGAAGAATGGCACATGGCTGACAAGGAACTATGAAGATAGAGGCCCATTTGCCATGGTGATGTGGCATAAAAAATATGGGCAACATGTGAAAAACTCCAATGAGGGAATTCCTAAATTGGATCTTAAAACTTAATCCCATGGAAAAAGGTTGTGGGGAGGAGGAGGGAGGGAGGAGAAACTTGCAATGATTGCAACTCATGTTGGGGTACCCAAGCTAGCTTTAAACTAGCTATGCTGAATATTGCTATGTTGAATATTGCTAACAGTGCAGCTGCGGTAGCATGACACTTAACACAATCCAATCATCCAAATACATAGTTTTGCAGACCTCGCTGAGCTTTGTGCTACTGCTGTCAGAACCTGAGCTAGATACTTGAAAGCTAGCTCAGATATGTTTTCATTGCACTACAGTTACTTCAGTGCAGATATATCCCAAATTAAGGTCTGTAAGGGCTTTGAGATCCTCAGAGGGAATACACATTAGTATTTTTCACTTTGTGCCTCTTTCTCTCCCATATATACTCCCTCATATATACTTAGCAAGTCAGGCCTTTTAGTTTCCCTGTATGCCATGTTTTTAGTTGGCTAAAAAAATTGCCTACAGTTTATTTTTATGTTGTAAAACTAATCCCTTTTATATCTGTATGGAAGCCTGAACATGTTAGAAACCGATGATCTACTAATTACATTGAAGTTATCATCATTACTTACAGAGAAATGATACTGCATGTTAATCCAGTGTTTTCCTTCTAAATAGCAAGCCAGGGGGTCAATTGGACATATAAACAAAGACATAAGCACATATAAAACATACAAACATTTAAAACACATACAAAAATGTAAAACACACACAAAGGCAGTATTAACAGGCACCCATTTTCTGGCTGTAACTGTTGCATAATTTATTCTTAGTAAGAGCAGCATAAATTGTATGTGTGGGAGAAAGGATTTGCATAGCAACCATGCCTGGGTCAAGGAACATACATATTTTGACAATCACACTGCATCCCGACTCATTGGTCACGTCTTGATAGGTTGCTGTGGCTACTAATGCTGAGAATCCACAAATCAACCATCTTTAAGAATTTTCTAAAGGGGCCAGAATGGAGCAGGTAACTTCCACTCTGGATCCCTGTATCTGGCTATGCATTTGTTGATATACACAGCCAGCCAGAAGCTGGACTCCGATAAAGGCAAGGATGTTGATATCATGGAAAGAAGAGATTGACATGGTGTAGCTTGCATAACCTTGTAACCCTCATCTCCACTGCCTCTTCTGTTTTCATCTCTTGGACTGAACAAATCTCTGCATGAAAAACAAAGTGCTCTTGCAATGTCAACACAGCCAGTGCTAATATTCGTGATTCCTTCTTGCATAATCTGATGCTGGGCATTTTTAAAACCACTCTAGAGACCTCTAATCACAAATAATACAGAAATCCCAAATCTCCAGTTTGCAGATTTGTGATAAATGTAGCATGATGTTGGCTTTTGTGTTTTTGGATTCTCTTAAGCAACTTTATGTTTACTTATGCTATGGGTGAAATGGAATACCTGATTGTCATAAAAAGGCAATAAATGTTATGCACCAGATGGTGTTTACTTCTGATTGTTGAGAAATAGATTTTTAAATCTCAGAGCTTCCCATACTGTGGTCCACAGACCCTGGTGTTCAACAGAGCACTTGCTGGTGATCATTTGGTTTCTAGCTGCTAAACTGTAATAAGTAGCAAAAGTACATGAATTGCTTAATTAATTTTACTTTGTGGGTTAATATTGTCTGTGGGTTCCAAAGGGATGGTCATTGGTGGAAGGATATGACTTGGTAGAAGGTGATCTTTAATGCAGGCTCTCATTTAATTAGTGGACTGTCACAGGGCAGGGACCCAGGAGCGGCCGTGATCTCT